TCATAATAATAGTAAATGAGGAGAGAAATATGACTATGCAAATACGTATCGTTGAGTGGACGCTTTCAGTACATATATTTTACTCTTAGCTTCGTCAGATGGGATATGTCTATATACGTATGTTTTTACTCGCCATACTTGTTTCGCGAAGCGCAACATATGCATGCACATATATCACGCTGTTGTCAACCCCTCGAGACCGATCCCCCAAAATTACCAAAGCCTCTGTTTATTATTTTTTTCTAGCATACCCTCGATCGTTGCTCCCTCATCTTCTCATCATTCATTTTTTTTTCAATCCTTTGGAATACTTCCATCCACTGTACTCTTATGTCTGACTACATGTATGAAGAATAGCATATATATAGATCCAAACCCACTGGCCAATAACTTTTTATGAATCTGATTCCACCAGTTTATTTTTCATCATTAAACCTATTGTTGAAACACCATCTCACAGTTAGAGATTTTTTTTCCCGCAAAGTCAATTTATATTTAATCTACGACTAAGAAAAATGATTCTCTTTGTTATTGTTTCGTTAAACATAAATTCATTTGTTTTTGTTCGATTGTAGGAGAATAATGGCTGATTAGTTTTTTGGTTGCTCAATATGATTGATATAGATTGGGAAAAATGAGGAATAAGAAATTGAAAATAAATTAGCAAAAAGTTTTTGTTGTTATCATTATGATCTTGTTGATCTCGAAAATATAAAAAATAATTGGTTCTTAGGGTCAAGTGGCAATCAGATTTCTATCATGTTTTATGGGTCATATTGATTTGAAATATAAACATTAAACTTTCTCACACAAAATATAACTTTGCTCTCTGCACATCAAATAACCTGTATATATAAAATGGAATTGTTTTCGCTCTCTTTGAACCTCATACAGCTCGATAAATCTAAAACTTTATTCGTAATTTTCTATTTATGCACTGTAGAAAAACATCTGCTTTTTTAAATAAATTATTATTATTCAATTTTTATTGATTAAAAAACAAGTGAGAGTGATTAACAAAATGGATAGATCTAACTAAAATTTCTTACAGTCTGTTAAAAAAATTCCCTATTTTCTTTCACTAAATTAATTTCTCAGAGTCATTGTTACGTCAATTGACGGTACACAAATACACATGAGTTAACAGAACGTTCATACATCCGTCCGCTCAATTTCCTATACTGTATTGCCCCACTTATATTATACTCGCGTAGTCATATTCTACTCAATCACGAGACTTCGTATGCCAGGGTAAAACGATAATATGTTCGACTGGATAACAACAAACGCAGCTCACTCAACTGCGGTCCATTCTGCCAGTACCACGATAAGAATAACAATAGATTCGTTAATATGTCGATAAAAAAGTGAGCAAAGAAAATAAAGATAGAAAGCACAAGCAGTCGTCATTTCAAAGCCATCCAGATAACAAATAATCAATCTATCTGTTTTAAATTTTCAAAACGGAATCTACGTTCCAGCTGTTAAATTTTATGAGTCGTCAAGTCTATTTTACTCTGAAAAATCCAAATAATTTAGTTTTTTTTTTCAAATTTGTCGATTTATTTATTGGAAAATTTATTGATTAATTGATTTATTGCAAAACTTGAGCAAAAAGAAAATTAATGATTATTTAATAGCTCAAAATGAATCGATTCTTGATTCGATTGAGTGATTAATTTTAAATGGGGATTGGAACAATAGTTATAAATTTTACAAACATTTTATTGAAGCATTAATGACACTGATGGATTGTTTAATATCAAACCAGTTTACGTCAAGCATAAAAATAGCTTGTCTACTGAAAAAATTATTCTGCAATCCATCACTTTTGCTATGCAATAGAGAAAAGTCATGCCTATTAACATATTCATGCATTATAGATGGCATTGAATGACATCGACGAGTAGAGTAGGATAGAAAAGAGGATAGCGGGACTGCGTGTGTCCTTTGGGACATCTGTCTGTCATCTAAAGTGGGAATATATGAGGAGATCTTACTGCATCTTGTTTTTCCTTTCCAAGGTTACGAGGCTAAATAAAATTGAAAATACTTGTAGAAGGATGGAACTCTTAAAAAACTCTTGAGTAAGTAAATAGACGGTCGCAACACGGAAATTTAACTAATAAAAGATACAAGATGCTCGCAGTTACAAATTATTTTTCAAAGAAAAACACTTTGATGTTTTGAAACAAATGTCAGGAGCTTTTTCTTAATGAAAATCATTCAGAGAATATTTTTTTTTCAAGAAAAAATGATAAACAGTAGGAAATTAAAATTGAAGCATTTGATTGAAGAAAAACAATTGAATAATAATTTAAATAAAAAATTATACAAAATTTATAGATGAAATGTATCGAAAAATGAGTTATTTTGAGTATATTTTTTCTTCGAAGGATTTTCCTTTAAGCAGAGTTGGAAATGAGTTTTACAATAAAAATAAAAAAAACTGTGGAGTAGATTTGTACAAAGAATAGGTCTTTTTATACTTCTTAATTATTTATTAGATTAAAAAGAAAGTGGAAAATTTATTTAACGTTTTTCAAAGCATCTCTTTTAAATAGAAATTGTTGAAAAATTATATAGAATAATTATTCCATCAGTAAAATTTATAATTTTTTTTATTAAATTACAATCGGATGAAGTAAAGAATACATTATTACTTTCTAATAAATGATGAAAGAAGACATTGAAGTTTTATTAAAACAATTGTATCTTTATCATTCTGTGAAATTGAGACATTCTAAACTTTCCAATAATATTTCAATTATTTTCTCTAAAAAGATCATGATGTAATCAATTCATTCATAGTAATACCTTATTTAATATAACTTTAAAATTAATTTCAAAAAGACCATAAAATAAATATTATTGTTCTATAAAGAACAACAAAATAATGGACTTTGTAAAGTTGGTTGTCACTACATCGCCAAATGTGGTTTTCACATTATGTTAAACCGCTTAATTGACCGCGCCTACAATAATAATTACGAGGATGCAGGCATGCATGGAATATGCGTAGAATGGTAATATGATCCTGTGGGAACGTCATGTGGTGTGCCACGCGAGTGTACTAGACCCCCAAGGGAGAAAAGAGAGGGTTTAGTATTTATTCTAATAAAGTAAATGATGATGAGGTGGGTAAATTCATTTTACAGACTTTCAGCCACAAGCTAAGTCTTTTAAAACTGATTATCTTTCTGCAGATTATTAAAGCTGTTGTGAAAAACTTAGACCTCAGAACATAATTTATAGATCTATCATCTTTAATATCTTTCAACCTCAAAATATCATCATGATCAGTTAACTCTACCGTAAAATTTATAGAGTAAACATTATCTGAAACACTTAAAACTGTATTACGGTAGAATGTTGAGAGGTTAATGACTCATCGAAAAATAAATGTATTAGTTATTAAGTTTTCCGGATGACAAGGCCATTTTTACCGTGACTTTCAGGTAAACAATAGAGGTTTTTGAACTTTTTTTCGTACATTCTAACTGTGGGTGGTTATTGATCTAAGTAATATTTATTCTTCCTCGTTTAGTATCAAATAATAAAATTTATTTGTTCTATTATTTTTTCTACATTTTTATCATTGGCGTGTGGCACAAAAATAAAGATACGGGTGTTGACCTAGAATATAAAGGGGTGGTTTACAGCAAACATCAGATGACACATGACCAAATTATGCAGAGCACTTTTCTAATGTATTACGTATTTTATTGTTTAAACAAAAGTAAAATGTTTTTATCCTACATTTGTCACATTCAACTACCAACTTAAGTGACAGACACGAGTCAAAAAATATTTATGAGATATTTTATTTAAAAACATTATTCAAAGGATGTTTATTTAGAATAAAATAGTTTGAATAAAGAAAGGACTTGAAAACATCGAGGGTACAGTTACTTTTAGAAGTCAATGTATTTTATGTTTGCACTATTATTTTTGTTTACTTTGATTTCAATGGAAAAAGTTTACAATTTTTTATCATTCAAAAGCTTTTGATTCAGTTATGGAGCTTTAATATCAGTTTGTGATTGAAGTATATCAACCAAAGATTATTATACTTTCATTATTACTTCAACGCTTATTAGGTTTTATTTTAAAAAAAATTTAATTGTTAGAAAAAATATCAACTGTCACAGTAATCGTCTCTTTCATTTCAATATTTTTGTTTTTATTAAAACAAAAATTTATTGTACTTTTTTTTAGTCAGTTCAAAGCTTTCATATTATTTAAAACTAATGAATTGAAATTTTTATGCAACTAAAGCTTTCACTGCTGTTGTTACAACACATCAATAGAAAATTATTTCATAGCAATTATTATTTTCTCTAAATTTATTTATTTAGATTCCAAATTTGCTTATTGTATATATTATTATATATCGTTTAACAGGATACAATGCTCTAACCTTTAGTGAATAACATACGAGAATTTATCAGCATAATAATTTTTCAAGAGCTGTGAAATAGTAGACAAAATGAATGTTCGTGGGTGGTATTCACCTTCGTAATTAATGGATCCACTAATGAGTTTATGGTCTCACCTATAGATCGATTGCGTTGGCGTGTGCTATGAAAACATGGGAGTAACAATCTTTGGATTAAGCCCATGGAATTGTTCATTAGAAAAAAAAAAGATGCAGCTGCCGCCAGATGTACATTTAAGAATCTTCATCGGGGTGTCATAATAGTAGGTGTATAAAAGACTGATTTTTCCTATTCCAATTTCTCTGAGCAATATTGGGAAAGGCGTTGCATCTGTCACATACAATCGGCCCGTCTGGCTTTTTTCTCAAGACTGTGCACTGAATGTAACGCTATGAAAAGCCCGGTCGACAAGATACATGATAAATAACCCAAGCGTTTAGTTGCGCCTTCCTTTAAACTATTTAGGATAGTGCCTATTTCCTATCTTTAATTTTAGCTTGACGTATCGGTTACGTTTTCTTCTGGCTTTTCTTATTTAAGATCATTCAAAATGTGTTTTAGAAGACAGCAGCTGGACCAGTCTGTTTACTGTGGAACTGATTCGCGAAAATCAGCTATTAATGACCGTGGAAACGTTGACAAGGTAAATTATGTTTACTACTTGGCTTTTGCTGTTTTGAAGTATGTTAATTAATTTATGAGAGACTACGAACTTTTTTAATTAATTGGCTTTTAAAATTTATTATTTTAATGACACTCATGATTTTTTTAATACAAAAGTACTTTTCTACTAAAAACATTTTAAGCATTTCGAAATAATTAACGAATTTATTTAACTCAGGTTAATTATGTAATTTAATTTTATTCTTGCTCTTCTTCATTTAAAATTCTATTATTTATTTTATTTTGATAAATTTAGAAAATTTTTTGAATGAATATTTTTCATTAACTTAACTAAAATAACACTAATAATTTGTTTTATTTCATCAATATTCATTTTAACAATGAAAATAAACATAAAATCATTCGAACTTTAATTGAATTTATTGTGTTAAAGCAAACAATTTTTTTACTTCATTTTTTTTATTATGAACTTTATTTTAAAAATGTATAATCAATAGATTTTTTTTTTCATTTATTTACATATTAAATGCAAAATTTAAAATATCCTTGAATAATTTCAATCTTCTAGTTTAAAAATTGCAATTTACCATTTTAAGAAACTAAAATCATTTTATCAGAGAGGAAACCTTCGTTGTGAAATGTTTTTAAAAAAATAATTCTCCTCTACACCTTTTCATTATTTATCTTCATCATAAATAATTGTTCATTGTTAACTCTAAAATATTCTATTCTAAAGATCCTTTTATTTCTCCTAAAATAGTAACTAGTTTTTTATGTCAAATCAATTTGTTTTTCCTGTAAAAAATTGATTAGGTTCTAGTGTAAAATTAAGCCTAAAAAAAGAGAACAATGCATTTAAAAATAATTTTTTCCTATCTCTTTTCGTCTTTCTACACCGCAGGGTAAATAGAGATGCAGGATTTTCTTTACTCGACAAACTTCATCTAAATTCTATTGTATTGTTGCAGAATACAACCCAAGACCTGTTCGAGTTACTGGAGAGGGTGCAGAGTTCTAGGCTTGATGATCAACGCTGTGTGTTACCACCTTATTTTACGCAGGTAAGAAAAAATACATGAAAGGATCTTTTATATGCTCATACATTATTTTGTTGTTTTATTCACTCGTGTCTTTGAACTTTCTAAGCAAACAAAGAGTAATGAAATAATCTGAAGGGGTTGAAATGCTCTAAAGCTTGTATAATTTCTATGTGAGCTTATACAAGATTTATTTCCTTTTTTTCACTTTTTATTCACTTATATAGAGGTGGATATTTATTATAAATAATGTTATATTTATTTATCAATCTGTATTGGATTAACATACATATTTCTCAATAATTCTTATCGGATATTTGCATCAATCTGCCGTCGATAATTATCAAGTAATCGAGATAGCTGTAGGACACTTTTTGGAAACATAAAATCGTGAGGATATTAAGTATCCAGTTTAGATGAAAGATAATACTCAATCGTTAGCTAAGCAATTCATCAGATTACGTAACTACACACATAAAAAAGATCATTTTGATCAAAAGATGAAGAAAATAGATAGCAATTTTTATTTTTTTTAAATAATTTAAATTTAAAATACTTGCACAGACTTTCTTTTTTTGCTTTTAAAAAGTTATTTTTAGAACATTATATCTTATAATTACTTTCGAGCACATTTAAATAAAATAAGAGTTATAACTTCATGAGTTAACGTAAAACCCGTTGTTAGAGTTAATGAATCATTAAAAATTTTAATCGAATAGTTAGCGAGTGAAACGTTGTTAAGTTGGGATGCATAAGAGGAGTAGAGAGAACTAATAGGAATTTTACCAGTAGTTTTATGTAGCAATAAATTAAATTTTCAAAATGCAATATTTTACCCAAGTACTCATGTTTAGGGGAATTTTAACAATAGAGGAACATTATACTCATGTCAAGTTTTCTGTCTATCAATTTTATGAAATCATTTTTCTAAATAGTCGTTTCTGATATTCTTCCTCCTCTATAGTAGTAACTAACTCCAACAACCAATTAATAACACTACCTAGGTGGCAGCTTGCTTTCCACTGTTGTTCCCTTGATGATCTTCAGTTTTCACTAAAGCAGCACCGCCTTCAGCAGATTTTACTGGTCTCAGAGCTTCAATAAATGATGTCCATTTGTCACGGCCAAACTGATGTCCTTCAAAACGGAATTGATTAGTCATGGGCTTTTGTTCACACTGAGGTGGCTATTTAGCAAGTTTTCAATTTTTTTGTCATTCTTTTTATATTTATCCACATGATTATTTTTTTCTAAACATTCTAGATTACATCTTTTTTTATCATGCTCAAGTTAACATCTTAAAAGACCATCAATTTCTGTTACATGTCAATTTGGCGATGACAAGACATCATTCAGCTTTTTTTGTCGTTTTTTATCTAAACACCTAAATAGATAGCTATTGTAAAAAAATGCTCCCAAATACTTTGACACAGAAAATATCCTAATATGTTCTGGAATAAATCTTTTCTTACCTTCTTAGAGATATGTAGTTGACTGTTTGCTGAATCTCGCATAAACATTTTTCAAATTTTTATTCTTTTTCATAAATCATTTTCTTCTTGAATGTAGTATTCATTTCTTGAATAAATTAAACTATAAATTTATTAGAATATTTGCATAAAGCTTAATTTATTCAACATAAGACAATTACTCCAGAATTTAGAAACTGTTTTTTTAAATAATAACATCCCATTAAATCTACAGGTTCAAGTTTCTAGCGGAATTCAATATTTGAAACAACAAAGTTCATTGAGTTAACTGAATTCACTCATGAGCCATTGTTTCAAACTGTTTTAATCAGAAAATGTTTTAATATCAGATGTAAAGCAATGAATATTTTGCTGTTTCGTAGAATACTTTTTTCGATTCTGATTATAATATTTTAAACAATATTATCTAACCATCAGTTTTTCTTTATTAGGGTTTGAGTAAATTTTCATCAAACAACGGCTAATCCATGTATGAAATTAACTGGACTACGTAGACATCAATTGAAGCAGTATATTAAAAATATCAACCTATTTATGTCCTTTGATCTCCATAATCAATTGTGACTTCAATTATTCTGTTATTATCTGAATTAATTCAGAGTATCAATAATATCAGAATCGATACAGATTTAATTATACAAGCTACAAAATATAAAAGAACCTTTGTTAGCCCAATCTATTGAGGGATGGTTATTATCTATGACCCAAAGTGAATTCATAAGTGAAATAACGTTCGATCATTTAATCACCATAGTGTCATTTAAAGCCGGAATATATGTAATTAACGTATGACAGAATTGAAATTCATTTATGCACATGGGAAATTGCACGTCAAGTCCAGATAACATTGACCTATGAACAATTTTCTTTTTTTTCAAGTCTATTCGCTCTTAATTCAATAAAAATCACTCTCAGTTCATTACCAGTTTCTTTGCTATTTTTTTCATTTCCTCATCATTTCAATCAAATTGATAGAAAAAAAATCTTTGCCTTCCGCTCATGCTTTCAACATATGTTTAATATAAAAATACATCTTACAAAAATTTATTTCCGTTCTTCTACTCATTCTTTTGTATATTTTTAGTTGAAAAAAATCAATGGGTACCAGATGGTGGATTTCTTTTATATGAATTGATGTAATTATATTATCACATGGACATTTGTAATATTAATTGTTGATAATGTAGACATTAATCTCAGTGTCGATAATGAAAAGTCCAACTATAATACCTGATGTCGGTAATTAACGTATGATGATAATGAATCTAAAGTCGATAATGACAAGTAGTCGATAAAGTAGAATTGCATAGATAATGTGAAGGATTTTTGAATTTAAAAGATGATCAACTATCCAGGTCATATGAAATCGTTTTTATGCCTTACATTATACTGGTATGACATGAGTCACACACTAAAAACGATATTATCTGTGGATCGTGGGACAATAAAACGTGTAGGACGTGAAAATGTAATGAGATCTTTCTCTCGTTCGTGACCTAAAAAATTGTAATAAACTAGAAAAATATAAAATTTGTATAGCATTATGTTTATGGTGCTAGTAAAAAATATAAATTATACCTAATTTAACTGTAGTTTCGCCAATGAAAATATTTAATCTTTTATCTCTTTTATATTATCATGTTGATTATAAATTTCCTAAAACGAAATAAAGTGTAACTGTCGAATAACTTTTACGATGTTCTATCACAATCTTTTAATTAATTTCTGAGCCATTTTTTATGAACTTTAATCGAGGATTACGATAAGCAATCAGCCGAGTATTATTCTAAATGAAAGAGATGTATTCCGACGAAGTAACCAAAATTAAAATAAATAAATCCTTAAAAAGAATATTTGCATAATTAATCAACCGATATATCGTCAATTACATTGTGAATTTTTAGATGTTTACAAATTATTTATGCATTCCGTAACTAAGTGATAACGATTATAGACTCTATAACTAATGTTTGATGACAGCAATACCATGATGGGTAATCTGATAAGCTAACTGGTATATAAGAAAGAGCTGGAGAGACATATCAAGGGAGAGTAGTGCGTGGGCAGCTTTGTTGTTTGTCGTGGTCAGGACACGACTCGACGGGTTGGAATAAAAAAGTCTTCAGGATGGGGATATACAATATGGAAACCACAACTTCCACATAGAATAGAAAGGAATTCGCAATGCCTTCTTTGTCTTCTTTCCTCTTTTTTATATTTATTCTTTCAGTTAGGGCAGGTATACTCAAACGAATTCTTGGTGTAAGTACTACACTGTCTAGTAATCTTCATGTTGGAGCTTCACTTGTATATATAAGCACTACTCGACAAGATTTTCCCGATTCAAAGGGTCTTTACTCACCAACCGTAAAGATGGTAGATTTCTTCGTATCGTGTACGCAAGTGAACTGCGTTCGACGACCATGGGAATTCCACGGTTATTACTCTTGCCTTTTGTTAATCTTGTTTGATACAATACTCGTTTAACGTGCGTGATCGTTATGATTTATTTCTTCAACTGATTATTCTTAGCGGATTTGTCTATTAAGTCTCCCGTTAGAATTTGTTATTAACTCGGAATGATGATTGATTAAAACAAACGCAGAAAAATCATCTATTGACAGCTTTAGAGGAAGTTGAGATTTTTTTCTTAAAACTTACATTTAAGTTTTTGCTAATTTCATTGCTTCCGTTATTTGTCGAGATTTTTTCCTATTGCTCTGGGAAACTATTGAAACGAGACAAATAGGAAAAAACAGCTAAACATGTTATCACTTATTTTTAAAAATTAAAAAAATTATTTTGAGTTAAATAACATTATTTTATCTTCTTTTTTAAAGAATTGTTTCTTCTTACAATAATTATCAAAAGATTGGGTTTCCTTCTTTTGATTATTATTTAGTGGTAAAGTCCACTAAATTATAAAAAATACCAGTTTTTTCACCCAATTATGATTCAAAGTGAATTGGAGTTGATGAAAGTGATAAAAAAAATTTCCTGCCATTGAAAAGGTGGAGCTTTTTATCTTAGTGCTTATTTTAATTTTCTACCAATTTAAAAATTCACTTACAATTATAAGTAACAGTTAACTGTCAAAGCAATTATATCTAAAATGTTCCCTGAAATTTCATTTAAAAAGCTTACATTGTATTCAAGTAAAGAAGTTAATCACTTTTATTGTGGAATGTTATCTGAGTGCAAAAAAAAATTTAATGATCCTAAGTATGACACATTCTGAAACCATGTCAAGAACTGATGCATTTATCTTAAACCATTAACTGGATTAATTTTTTAAGTACTTAGCAGTCTTATAATTTTTCAATTTGTTGAGCAATTCAACAAATTGAAAGTGACAAAATTCACTAACGAAGGTATTCCGAACTAGTCTTGACATCCGGACAGGATTTCCGTACAGACTAAAATTGTTTCTACTTCTTTTCTTTTTTGTTTTTGATGAACGAAATAGAACTAGAGAAATCGACTAGGATCAAACATACTAAAGTATTTTTAGATTCTATCTATATAAACTTTGAT